AGATGTCTCGTGTGCAAGTTGCGTTGCGCACGTTTAAAGATAGGTTTAGGCGTCTGCCACCACCCGAGCAAATTTCAAAACTGGTTTCTATATAAACTGAAAGTTCTCTAGTCGGTATGAGAAAACCAGTACCATCAAATTCGACAACGTGAAGGATCGGGGCTCTATGGAGAAGGAAAGACGGTTACACAGGTAAAAATCAGTTGAACTGCAAGCTGAAGAACCGGTAGTCGACTAACCCGGAGAACTATCGGGAAAAACCAAGGAAAATACCCACGCTCTGTGGAATTTCCTTTGTGAGGAATCAAAAAATGAAACAGAGGGAAGCCAGCATCCTTTCGCCGGTTTTTGCAAATTTTATCGATTTTTTTTTAATTTTTTTTTTTTGGCTCAACAGCTTTCGTGTCATTTAAAAAGATTTTTATTACTTGTGAATTTTTCAGAAAAACTTTGGTTAAAGGCATACACAAAAAATGTCAATTTTCTGTTTCCAAGAACTCTCGAATACGGAAGTCACTAAACTTTGGTGATCATTTCCTTGCTAAATTTTACTTCTGAAACCAAGCAACCCCATTCTCCTCTGATCACAAATATCTTGACTTTTATTAAAAATAGATAATTTTTTTTTCATCGAAAGAACTTCAAAATGATACTGATAACCCAACAGGTCCAAAAAATTGACGAGCGCCTGATTCCACCGCGTCTTGCCACATAATTTGTTTAATATTGTTGTAGTAACTCCCGTTTCCATGACGTGGATTCAGTTTTACCTCTAAACCGGAGAAATACTTCCAGAGAGCACTAACATCCCGAGTTCAAGACATTCGATTAATTTTAACAAGCATCAGTGCACACGCCACACCTGCCTGTCACTGGCACTGATAAGTTCAACTGAGTAGAGTTCTCTTCTCTAGTTGCAGCCTTGTGAAGTTATCGTGTTACCTGATAGAGCGTGTCGGATTGTTTCCGCGGGTTCTTCTTACCTGTGGGGTCTAATGAGTGGATAAAAATTGGGGGAAAATAAGAAGGGCGATTTCTAGATAGATAGATAGATAGATAGATAGATAGATAGGTAGATAGATAGATAGATAGATAGATAGATAGATAGATAGATAGATAGATAGATAGATGGATAGATAGATAGATAGATAGATAGAGACAGCGAGGCAAAGACACAGAGAGAGTAAAATAGGGGCGGGGGTGGCAGGCAGATATAACAGATAAACAGACACTCAGGACAGATAGACTCACTCAATTACATAGAGAAGAGAGAAAGAGAGAGAGAGAGAGAGGGAGAGAGAGAGAGAGAGAGAGAGAGAGAGAGAGAGAGAG